TTGCGGGCTGGCAAACGGCAGGCTTGAACCACCATAAAAGGAAAATGCCGGGGCTGGCAAACGGCATGGGAGCTGCAGGGAAGCATTTGGGGAGTTTTGCGGGCGGGCAAACGGCAGGCTTGAACCACCATAAAAGGACAATGCCGGGGCTGGCAAACGGCATGGGAGCTGCAGGGAAGCATTTGGGGAGTTTTGCGGGCGGGCAAACGGCAGGCTTGAACCACCATAAAAGGACAATGCCGGGCTGGCAAACGGCATGGGAGCTGCAGGGAAGCATTTGGGGAGTTTTGCGGGCGGGCAAACGGCAGGCTTGAACCACCATAAAAGGACAATGCCGGGGCTGGCAAACGGCATGGGAGCTGCAGGGAAGCATTTGGGGGGTTTTGGGGGCGGGCAAACGGCAGGCTTGAACCCCCATAAAAGGACAATGCCGGGGCTGGCAAACGGCATGGGAGCTGCAGGGAAGCATTTGGGGAGTTTTGCGGGCGGGCAAACGGCAGGCTTGAACCGCCATAAAAGGACAATGCCGGGGCTGGCAAACGGCATGGGAGCTGCAGGGAAGCATTTGGGGGGTTTTGCGGGCGGGCAATGCCGGGGCTGGCAAACGGCATGGGAGCTGCAGGGAAGCATTTGGGGGGTTTTGCGGGCGGGCAAACGGCAGGCTTGAACCACCATAAAAGGACAATGCCGAGGCTGGCAAATGGCATGGGAGCTGCAGGGAAGCATTTGGGGGGTTTTGCGGGCTGGCACACGGCAGGCTTGAACCACCATAAAAGGACAATGCCGGGGCTGGCAAACGGCATGGGAGCTGCAGGGAAGCATTTGGGGGGTTTTGCGGGCTGGCAAACGGCAGGCTTGAACCACCATAAAAGGACAATGCCGGGGCTGGCAAACGGCATGGGAGCTGCAGGGAAGCATTTGGGGAGTGCCGGGGGCTTGAACCACCATAAAAGGACAATGCGGGGCTGGCAAACGGCATGGGAGCTGCAGGGAAGCATTTGGGGAGTTTTGCGGGCTGGCAACGGCAGGCTTGAACCACCATAAAAGGACAATGCGGGGGCTGGCAAACGGCATGGGAGCTGCAGGGAAGCATTTGGGGGGTTTTGCGGGCGGGCAAACGGCAGGCTTGAACCACCATAAAAGGACAATGCCGGAGGCTGGCAAACGGCATGGGAGCTGCAGGGAAGCATTTGGGGAGTTTTGCGGGCTGGCAAACGGCAGGCTTGAACCACCATAAAAGGACAATGCCGGGGCTGGCAAACGGCATGGGAGCTGCAGGGAAGCATTTGGGGGTTTTGCGGGCTGGCAAACGGCAGGCTTGACCACCATAAAGTACAATGCCGGGCTGGCAAACGGCATGGGAGCTGCAGGGAGCATTTGGGGGGTTTTGCGGGCGGGCAAACGGCAGGCTTGAACCACCATAAAAGACAAGCCGGGGCTGCAACGGCATGGCGCTGCAGGGAGCATTGGGGGGTTTTGCGGCGGCAAACGGCAGCTGAACCACATAAAAGGACAATGCCGGGGCTGGCAAACGGCATGGGAGCTGCAGGGAAGCATTTGGGGAGTTTTGCGGGCTGGCAAACGGCAGGCTTGAACCACCATTAAAAGGACAATGCCGGGGGCTGGCAAACGGCATGGGAGCTGCAGAAAGCATTTGGGAGTTTTGCGGGCTGGCAAACGGCAGGCTTGAACTCCTTGAAAAAACAGATGGCAGGGGCATGTAGCTGTAAGAGTTGTTGCCTTGGAGGCCTGCGGAAGCGTTTGGAGGGTTTCAGGCCGGTCAAACGGCAGTCTTGAACTCCCTGAAAAACAGATGGCAGGGGCATGTAGCTGTAAGAGTTGTTGCCTTGGAGGCCTGCGGAAGCGTTTGGGGGGTTTGAGGCCGGGCAAACGGCACTCTTGAACCCCCTGAAAAACAGATGGCAGGGGCATGTAGGTGTAAGAGTTCGGCAGGAGCATGTAGATGGCTGGGGCATGTATAGCTGGCAGAGGTGTTGCCTTGATGGCGTGTGCCTTTGCTTGCGACCCGAGAGCCAAGTTCCACACCTCCGGTGGTCCCAGGCGCCGCCCCTGCCTTGGCAAAGGCCGGGGTCGGCGGATTATATCTACTATCAGAGATATCAGTATGGGAAATCATTCCCAAGATAGTTTCTTTCAAGTTTGTGTGAATCGTAGTAATTTGCCTAGATCACCATTTCAAAGTACCAAGGTCAAACAGCGGGAGCCAGTGGGTAATGACCCTGGTGAAGACCCCCTTTTTTGAAAGAACTGGTTTCTCCCTTTTTTCAGAGGGGAAACTTCCCGCTGTAGGGCAGTTCCAGATGACTAACCTGGATATCTCAACTCAGCTGATGTCTGGTGAAAATGTTGGGGACATTCCGAAGTTGCAAACATGTCGGACAGGAAACATGACCCAAGGTTAGTCTTGCTCACATTTTTTTGTATTTTTTTTGCAAGTTCTAACTGTGCATCATGAGAATGTATACTTTGCCAATGAGGGTGAACTACGAAGCCAGGGTTGTGTTTCATATCTCGACATTGGAGCGTTTCATTGCAGAGGCGCCCTGAATATATCTACAAATAAGGCATGCTATCGAGAATTGGATGATGGAAAAAAGACTTAGGCCCTCCGCCTTTTATTTAAAGGTAAACATCACGGTTTCCAGTTTTTATTGGCCTCCAAACAATCCAGTTTGGAGATTTGAACCTCTGATTGAGATTGCACTGATATATTTGAAACTCAATCCAGTTTGGAGATTGATCACAAAAGGCTTCGCATGTGGCACTGATATATTTATCGCTGAGTTACACCAATCGACCAATCGCATCCACAGGATTTTTGAAAATCGCTCCGAGCATCCTGGGTTAACATGTTTGCATCCCTGAAGCTAGCCATGCTCGTTGACCCCATTCTTGATGATATTCATGGATTATAATGCAATGGTTGTTGTTGAAACCTTCACATGTTTTTGATCACTTAAACACTTTAAACAAAAACATCATAAATCTCCACGTCTGTATTTTTTGCCACGGATGAATTCCAGATTTTGGTCACCCTTTTTGTCACCACGTTTCCAAGGCTAGAGGCTCGCTTTGGCCAGCCCGTATCCCTTGAAGGCCTTCGCGAGTCGGAGATTCATCCCTTGATCCAAAATTGGAACCACCCATTTTTTTTCAAAACATGGAACTTATGTAACATGGGGAGTATTAATGGTTAAGAATGGTTAACAATGGTACTGGTGAATAGTTTCCCAGTTGGGTTGGTTTAGGACATAATTTCCCAGTGCAGCGGTGATTTAGGAAATAGTTTCTGTAAATTGGATTGATTTAGGAAATAGTTTCTGTAAACATGGGTTGGTTTAGCAAATAGTTTCTGTAAATTGGGTTTATTTAAGAACTAGCTTCTGGCCTCCGCAGACAAAGAGGCCAAGGCACTCCCCAATATATACAGCGATAGCTTTGTTGGAACCGCGGGGGATGGTGACTTTCTGGGATCAATGGCAGACCAAGTGCACCTCCAAGTACTGTAGCCACTAACTGTCACTAACTGGTAGCTGGTACAGGCTGAGGCCCTCCAATTATAAATTGTTCTATATACCCATTAACTACGTTATATCCATAAATCATAGTTAGCCTAGTTGTGTGCGTCAACTTGGCCATTGATTTAACTTGAAAGTAATAGTTATACCGATGGGATCACTATTTTGTAACTATAACCCCATAGTTTTTAAACATTGATCATGTTATACCCATGAACTAGAGTTAATTTTATCTTATATCCCATAAATACCATGGGATTCCATATACCCATGAACATCTATTAATGGTTCATATATCCCATGAAAAATCCCCCCCTGGAGCCCATTGATTGCCCCCTGACTCCAGGCGTCCGTGCCATGTTGACGAAGCCCACCATCAGCCATGACACCCGGAACTCCCGCATCAGTGCCAAAGGCGAGGCTTCCGCACTCGGAAAGGTGGAGGTCTGGAAGCCGAAAACCCAGAAATCGGCAACAAACCTTGGGATATCTTGGGATATCTTGGGACTTTGGGAAGGAAAACATGAGGGGAATGAGTGACAGTAATAGGAAAACTGACATTTTTTTTTCGTGTTTTTTCATTCATACTTCCATCAGCAACACTGACTGGACAGTGGCCGTCAATACCAACAGTCTCAACTTGTCGAAGACACGCGGCAAGATTGGGAACAAAGATGACGAGCAATCCGTGCGGCTAATCCGTCCAGCAATAAAGGGTATTCAACGGAAAGTATCCTCTGGTAAACTAACATAACTATGGGAAATCACCATTTTTAATGGGTAAATCCACTATAAATATCTATAAATGGCCATTTTCAATAGCTATGTCAAATTCCCAGAGGGTATATATGGAGGTGTCAACATCCAGTGCCCATCTAAGAAACAAAGACTGATGATGAACCACCAGGGAAACGGCGGATTTTTACCATCAGCAAAGACACAACAAAGGCATTAACCAAAACGGGGATTTAGATGGATTTAGCCAAGAATTGTTTGGGTATCAAAAATCAAACTGGCTTGGTGTTTCCCATTACAATGGGTACTTTCAATTTTCATCCCAACAAAGATAGAATGATGATACTCCGTATACGATTCTCTGATTTTCTCGGAACTCACCAATGAGGGATGTCCTTTTTGAACATGTTTGATCATCTTCCCTGCGTTGAAGTTTTACCATCAGAATTCACATAGATATGGAACGCACATTTGTAGATATAATTTTCCTTGGGTTTGGGTTTTCCATATGGTTGTATTCATTTACGGGAGGGTATATCCCCTTGATTCTGATCATCTTCCCCCAAAAAACACAAAAAAACGATGAACCCAGCATTGACCCACCAAAACCCCCCCTTTTTATCACCTCCCAGAGTCCTCAACTGGGCTTATCCTAACCATGACCAGCCCGTAACTTGGGGATGATCTATCCACCGTGGTTTGATGATGGGCAAGGCCGCAAGGTCGACGTGTTTTAAAAACGGGGACTCTGCAGACTTCTGCCGAAGTGGCCGCGCCGCTGCCGAAGGTCAGTTACGGCGTTTGTCAACGGGCGCCAAGAAACAAACCGATTTCGTTTATGGATTTGTGGACCCTGAAGCCTGGTAGCTGTATGGAGTGGCCATTCTGCAGATGTTGTTTGAATGCGACAAAAACGATCAAGGCAATGTGAACAGCCAGGATTTTCCATGGATAATCTTGCATTATTTTGTCATATTTTGTCATTTCATACACTTACTTTATTACTTCATTGCTCTGGGCTTGGATTTTAAGCAACACTCCACGGGCGGAGCATCAACGGCCCGGCCACGTCGTCTGCGAGGTGAATCCAGGGTGAACCAACGGACAATCCATGATTTTTATTCTGTCGATTGTGTCCCCAAATATATCATATTATCTTTCCAAAAGATGTTTAGTTCTAGTATGTTCTATTTCCTATTCTATATATATATATAATATATATATCCAATAACATCATGGATACACATTGCATGTATATACAGTGTACATATATACACATACAATGCCACATGTATTTATACATATGTATACATCTATCTATCTATCTATCTATATCTATATATATCTATATGTATACATCTATCTATTTACACATATATATATATATATTATATACCATAACATGGTTGGTTAGAGAGCTCCACTCCGCCGAGCCTGGACACGAGCCTTCACGAGGTGGTGCTGTGTCACCAGCGCACGGTGACCACAGCGACGACGGTGACGCTCAGAGTTGAGGCCGCGAATGGTGCCCATCCATCACCTGCAACTTGGTTGAGCCGCGTGGGGATATGGGATGATATATATGGGGATGGATATGGGTATATATATATATAGCTATTAATTGGGTGATAATGGATATATATATATATATATATCGTCATTGCTAGTGTTTAGGCTCAGAAATGGTGTTATGGCCCATTATTTACCTGTTTTTTAATGATCATTGTTATATATGGGATATGATGGGATATGTATACAACGAACAATATGATCTTTCGATGTGTCTGAAAAGGTGGAATATTCCCACATGACCATAATGGGTTTAATGATGATAAACCGTCAAATTTGGGAAACCCTTTTTTTAGTCGAACCAACAGACAAAAACGAGGATATGAGATATTTTATTGTGATTTATCGTGTATAACCATCAATAATATAGATACAATGTGATAAAACATGATATATGTATAATCATCAATATCCATCATTACAATGGATATGTTATTTCTACAACTGGATGGTTTATAAACAAACTTTCGCGAAGAGGGGGAGGCACAAATTGTGTATACGAAAATTCACTGGGAACCTTCAAAGCCTTCAAGCATGATGGCAAACACTGGCTTTTGGAAGGTGATGGCCACGTTGAGTCTCTATCTTAAGTTTCAGACCTGACGTTTTTTCGGGATGTATTGTAGCTATTCGAGGGGATCACAAAAAAAGGTCACCTGAATTGGTGGTTGGATAGTTGGCAAATATCAGTTACTTTCAGAATCAGTAGTGTTAAAACATGTTCGCTGCAACCTGGACGTTTGCCCGGAGTTGATGTCCCGCAATCAACGTATTGTTCAGAGGGGGTGGCTAATTTTGATCCCTCATGAAGATAATATTGATGTTATTTCCCCAAGCAACATATTGTTCTGAGGAGGTGGCGAATTTTGATCCCTCATGAAGATAAAGTTGATGTTGTTAGTCCGTTCAGCATATTGCGAATAGGGGGTGGCGGATTTTGTTCCCTCATGAAGATAATGTTGATGTATTACCCGATTCAACATATTGGCCATAGAGGGTGGCATGTTGTTAGCCCGTTCAGCATATTGGTCATAGGGGTGGCGGATTTTGATCCCTCATGATGATCAGGTGATATTGTTTCCTCATGAATCATGAAGATAGCTGTGTTCAAGGTATCTTTCACATGCCACCGTGGCCTAATGTTCCCCCTTGGCCTTGCTTGGATTCGCAACTTCCAAGCAACACAGAATTGTCCCTGTTATGTCACAATGATGAGTCTGGGCGAACGTTAAGGTTGCGGACAACATGTTAAAGCTCCCTAAGAAACCATCCTGCAATGTGGTCGATATGTTGGAGTCCCCCAAAACTGTTCACCAAATTCGTAGCATGTGGGAACACAAAAAGATAGTGCCGCTTTGCACATTATTACATTATATACATATATATGTATACATGATGTGTATATCCATATGAATAATTACATATATATATATACATACACATATGAGTGTAATTGTAAATAAATAAATAAATATATATATATACACACACATGTATGTATATATGTATATAATGTGTATATACCGAGCTTCAGCAGACTCGGCAAAAATCCACAGCTTATCGCAGAACTATCGCCAGGTACGGATCAAATATCGCACCAGAAATGGCATGGCCAAGGCTGGCGAAAGGTGCCTTGCTCGGATTTTCAGGGTAATTTCATGGTGAATTCGTGGGATTTGATGGTGATTTTTCAAGGGAGCTTTTTTGGGAGAATTCATGAGATTCGAATCTCGAGTTTTTGATGAAAAAATCAATGGAAATATGGATGACCTTTGTTTTTTATCACGCAGCGAGGTACCATCAGAAATCGGGCGTGCTGCATTTTCTGCCAGATGATGACAAGCAAGACCTCATGTTTCTTGTCCAAAAGTGTGGAGTGTGGATGACAGCTTTGTTGAGATCCCCACTGGTGGTTGGTGAAGTTCCTGTTATCGATTGTTCTGTTGTCAGTCAAAATCGAAGCTGGTGGCTGATTAAACAGACACTCCCAGGATTTATGGATGATTTTCCCAATAAACTTTCCATTAAAACATATTAAAACATATTAAAACATATTAAAACATATTAAAAAATATTAAGACATATTAAAACATATTAACACATATTAAAACATATTAAACCATATTAAAACATATTAAAACATATTAAAACATATTAAAACATATTAAAACATATTAAAACATATTAAACCATATTAAAACATATTAAAACATATTAGAACATATTAAGACATATTAAAACATATTAAAACCAGGATTTTCAATTGCCGCGTTACCAGAATGTAGTTAGATCGCGGGGATGGGACTCCTTAGGATTGGCTTACTGGACCTTCATGGACCTCCAGAAGAATTCTATGTGGAGCTCACTGAGTGCCTTGGTTTTATTCAGGGTTTGGGGTTTATAATCAATTATAAATGGGTATTCTGAATACCCATTATTTATCATTTATAGATGATTTATAGATGATTAATTTCTGGGGTATTCTGGGAAAATCATCTATAAATCCGGGTTATTCTGGGGAATATCATTTGTGAAGTTGTTTCTGGGGTATTCTGGGAAAATCATCCCAAAATCCAGGTTAATCTGGGGAATATCATTTATGAAGTTGTTTCTGGGGTATTCTGGGAAAGTCATCTATAAATCCGGGTTATTCTGGGGAATATCATTTATGAAGTTGTTTCTGGGGTATTCTGGGAAAATCATCCCAAAATCCAGGTTAATCTGGGGAATATCATTTATGAAGCTGTTTCTGGGGTATTCTGGGAAAGTCATCTATAAATCCGGGTTATTCTGGGGAATATCATTTATGAAGTTGTTTCTGGGGTATTCTGGGAAAATCATCCCAAAATCCAGGTTAATCTGGGGAATATCATTTATGAAGCTGTTTCTGGGGTATTCTGGGAAAATCATCCCAAAATCCAGGTTATTCTGGGGAATATCATTTATGAAGCTGTTTCTGGGGTATTCTGGAAAATCATCCCAAAATCCAGGTTAATCTGGGGAATATCTGGGATTCTTATTCCGATTCTGGGGAATATCATTTATGAAGTTGTTTCTGGGGTATTCTGGGAAAATCATCCCAAAATCCAGGTTAATCTGGGGAATATCATTTATGAAGCTGTTTCTGGGGTATTCTGGGAAAATCATCCCAAAATCCAGGTTATTCTGGGGAATATCATTTATGAAGCTGTTTCTGGGGTATTCTGGGAAAATCATCCCAAAATCCAGGTTAATCTGGGGAATATCATTTATGAAGCTGTTTCTGGGGTATTCTGGGAAAATCATCCCAAAATCCAGGTTATTCTGGGGAATATCATTTATGAAGTTGTTTCTGGGGTATTCTGGGAAAGTCATCTATAAATCCGGGTTATTCTGGGGAATATCATTTATGAAGTTGTTTCTGGGGTATTCTGGGAAAGTCATCTATAAATCCGGGTTATTCTGGGGAATATCATTTATGAAGTTGTTTCTGGGGTATTCTGGGAAAGTCATCTATAAATCCGGGTTATTCTGGGGAATATCATTTATGAAGTTGTTTCTGGGGTATTCTGGGAAAGCAGGGTTCCCGTGGTTCGCATCGATTCGCATCGGTTCGAAAATAACTTTATGAACCGCGAAGCGGTTCGTTCCGGTTCGGTTCCGTTGCGGTTCGTGTCGAGACCGGTTCATGGATTCATTCGGTTCCATTCGGTTCGGTTCTTGTCTGGAATTGACTGCATTACTACCTTTTATAAAGGAAATTAATGCGGTAATGTTAATAGCAGCATTAGAAATATATGCCTTGGCGTTCGAAACTGCTTAGACGGGGGTTACGGAAAATGAGTATAGCCGAACAGCTTTGGCCTCGAAATTCTTTGTTGTAATGGACTGATCTAGCAAATACCGTAATTCCCCATAGCCACTTAGCATTATACTAAACGGTACGATCCCGTAACCCCCCTAGAAGCACTTTCGGTGCCAAACATAGCTTTCCGGGGGTCACGGGATCTAAGTACAGCGGAACAGCTTTAGCTTCGAAATTCTCTGTTCAAATAGAAAGATTTGGCAAATTATTAGTGAATCCCCATACCTCTTAGGGTGGTTTAAGGGGCTCCCTTGCTGAGGGCCTTCTTGCTGAAATTTTCAGCTGGGAAAAGCCAATGGAAAACACAAAGGAATCTAAAAAAATCTTTCTGCACATGTGAGGGTTCTTGATGGGATTTTTATTGATATTTGCAGGATTCTTACTCTTTGGATGGATGAAGCAGTCAGTGGGTGCCTGCCAGGGACTTCCTTCTGAGAAAGGCATTTTGGATCAAAGACTAGATGGCAGCATGCCCACGCGCAAAAAAAGGGTGTGCCATTTTCCAGTTGATATCTTGCTTGCTGCTTTCCCAATTTTTGGGATTTTGGTGGGATTTTGTTAGGTTTGTGTGGGTTTTTGTTAGGCTTTTGCTGGGTTTGGTCAGGATTGGCTGGGGGTTGGCCCATTTTTGGGATTTTGTTAGGTTTTGTTGGGATTTTTCTAGGGTTGTGTGGGATGTTGGGGTTGTGTGGGATTGTAGTTGGGTTTGTGTGGGGTGTGCTAGGGGTTGCTTTGTGTTTTCTGTGGGGTTTTGTTGGTGGTTTTGTGGTGTTTTGCTGGGCTTTTCTGGAGTTCTGCTGTTTTGGTTTTGGGTTCTGTTAGTGTGTGTGGGTTTCTGTCAGCTGAGGGTGGTGGTGTTGTTTGGATTTGGGTTGGCAAAAGACAACTTTACAAATGTGCAAAATTTGATTGTCAAAACCACAGGGATTTCCTGGGAAACTTTGAGGCTGGAGTGGGCTTGAATGGGATTTCACTGGGGTTCCATGATATTGTGTCGGGTTGCTGTATGTTGCTGTTGTTTTTGTTCAGGGTTCCATGGGCCTAAAAAAATCAAGAAGATCTATAGCAGATCAGCCTGATAAACCGCTGTATGAATACCCATGTCGTATACTCAACTGTACGATCCCATAACCCCCCAAGAAGCATTTTCGGGGGCAAACAAAGCTTTCCGGGGGTTACGGAAAATGAGCACAGCGGAACAGCTTTAGCTTCGAAATTCTCTGTTAACGAATAGAAAGATTTGGCAAATTATTAGTGAATCCCCATACCCATGTCGTATACTCAACTGTACGATCCCGTAACCCCCTAGAAGCACTTTCGGGGGCAAACATAGCTTTCCGGGGGTTACGGAAAATCAGCGCAGCCGAACAGTTTAGGCTTCGAAATTCTCTGTTTGAATAGAAAGATTTGGCAAATTTAGTGAATCCCCATACCCATGTCGTATACTCAACTGTACGATCCCGTAACCCCCCTAGAAGCACTTTCGGGGCCAAACATAGCTTTCCGGGGGTTACGGAAAATCAGTACAGCCGAACAGTTTAGGCTTCGAAATTCTCTGTTTGAATAGAAAGATTTGGCAAATTTAGTCCCCATACCCATGTCGTATACTCAACTGTACGATCCCGTAACCCCCCAAGAAGCACTTTCGGGGGCAAACATAGCTTTCCGGGGGTTACGGAAAATCAGTACAGCCGAACAGTTTAGGCTTCGAAATTCTCTGTTCAAATAGAAAGATTTGGCAAATTATTAGTGAATCCCCATACCCATATCGTATACTCAACTGTACAATCCCACAACCCCCCAAGAAGCACTTTCGGGGCCAAACATAGCTTTCCGGGGGTTACGGAAAATCAATACAGCCCAACAGTTTAGGCTTCGAAATTCTCTGTTTGAATAGAAAGATTTGGCAAATTTAGTGAATCCCCATACCCATGTCGTATACTCAACTGTACGATCCCGTAAACCCCCAAGAAGCACTTTCGGGGCCAAACATTGCTTTCCGGGGGTTACGGAAAATCAGTGCAGCCGAACAGATTAGGCTTCGAAATTCTCTGTTTGAATAGAACGATTTGGCAAATTTAGTGAATCCCCATACCCATGTCGTATACTCAACTGTACGATCCCGTAACCCCCCTAGAAGCACTTTCGGGGGCAAACATAGCTTTCCGGGGGTTACGGAAAATCAGTACAGCCGAACAGTTTAGGCTTCGAAATTCTCTGTTTGAATAGAAAGATTTGGCAAATTTAGTGATTCCCCATACCCATGTCGTATACTCAACTGTACGATCCCGTAACCCCCCTAGAAGCACTTTCGGTGGCAAACATACTCCTAGTTGTGGAAGTCAAAGCGTTTCAATGAAATGTGCGTCCTAGGTGGGGGAGAAATTTCTGGAAGTCGGTGCGATGTTGCGTCCAGTTGGTGTTTAGCATGTTTGTGTTTTCTCCAATTGATGGTTTATCGTGAGTTTTTCATGGATACCATGCAGATGGTTGTAGCTATTCCCTTGTGTTTTGGGAGTTTTGTACATCACTTGTGGCTCGCTCTGTTGTGCAAGATTCATACAAACACCGACGAATACTGGGTCGATGTTATAACAAGTGCCTATGGGGAAAGGCCCGCATGGGCAGCGCCTATCACTTTAACTTACTGATGTATTTTTTGGCACTTCGCGTAGGCACACGACGCTTACCTGTCATATCTTTTTGGGTTTACCCACTATACTCCCAAAGATGAAAGTCGTGGCAATTGTATACTTGTTTGCCAAGCTTGCGTCCCTTTGTCTCCCTTCTGTCTCCCCTCTGTCTCCCTTACTCGCCTGGACCTCGTTTGGACCTCGTTTGGACCTCGTTTGCACCTCGTTCGGACCTCGTTAAAATTGCAGCCAGTCAAAGCCCAGCCCGGAGAGGTTTTGGAAAGGCTTTGCAATGGTCTGCTGCTTGGTCTGCTGCTGCTGCTGCTGTTGTTGTTGCTGCTTGTGTTGCTGCTTCTGGGCAAGGCGCGGTTTTTGGGCAGAGAAGCAAGAGATTTTGTCTGGCGTAAGCGGTGTGCCACGCGGCTGGCACAAGTTCTAGTAAAACCAAGAAGCAGAGGATTGATTTCCTGCAGGCCTATGACAAGATGAGGTCGTTGCAGTTTGTTCCGAAGAGCAAATGAGCGGAAAAAAGATAGCCGTACCACAGGGCAGAGAACGTGGATGAGATTTGCAACTGTACATTCACTTAGCAACATTCGAATCCCGAAGTCTTCCATCCCTTGTCAAATTCCTTCAGGAAAGCCACCAGAAACATTCCTTCAGATTATTATTCAGACATATTTGAGATTCATGTGTGGAGACGCGTCCTGATGGGGATTTGGAAAATTCGGCATATATTTTTAAGATTATGGGACATAATTGTGCACACGCGTCCTGATGGGGATTTGGAAAATTTGGCAATAGAAAAGTGCACTGCCAGGGATCTAAAAATAACACTTCTACATAGTGCGTCCCATGGTGTTTTAGACCTAGTTGCATTGACTTGTTTGACTTCCTGAATGCGCGGCGTCCCATGCAGTTTTTACCTTGGTTCCACATATGCACTGACTTTCACGTCCCAGTGTAGCTTTCCGGGGGTTACGGAAAATCAGTACAGCCGAACAGTTTAGGCTTCGAAATTCTCTGTTTGAATAGAAAGATTTGGCAAATTTAGTGAATCCCCCATGTCGTATACACTGTACGATCCCGTAACCCCCCAAGAAGCACTTTCGGGGCCAAACATAGCTTTCCGGGGGTTACGGAAAATCAGTACAGCCGAACAGTTAGGCTTCGAAATTCTCTGTTTGAATAGAAAGATTTGGCAAATTTAGTGAATCCCCATACCCATGTCGCATACTCAACTGTACGATCCCGTAACCCCCCAAGAAGCACTTTCGGTGCCAAACATAGCTTTCCGGGGGTTACGGGATCTAAGTACAGCGGAACAGCTTTAGCTTCGAAATTCTCTGTTCGAATAGAAAGATTTGGCAAATTTAGTGAATCCCCATACCCATGTCGTATACTCAACTGTACGATCCCGTAACCCCCCAAGAAGCACTTTCGGGGGCAAACATAGCTTTCCGGAGGTTACGGAAAATCAGTGCATCCGAACAGCTTTAGCTTCGAAATTCTCTGTTCGAATAGAAAGATTTGGCAAATCTAGTGAATCCCCATACCCATGTCGTGTACTCAACTGTACGATCCCGTAACCCCCCTAGAAGCACTTTCGGGGCCAAACATAGCTTTCCGGGGGTTACGGAAAATCAGCGCATCCGAACAGTT